TGTTAGAAGCTGCGCCGTAACTACAGCATGACATGACATGACTTATTATAATGTATATTGCAAAAATAAAAATTATAAAATGGAAGAATTTTATGTTGGGATGCGCTTGTAAGTTTTCATCTAAAGCATCTTAATTAATATATCACTAACCAAAATATTTTAAGAAATTAAATTTATACTTATTATATATTATCATGAATATTTATATTTTATATACATCTTTTTTTTTTCTTAAATTTATTAATTTATTTATAAAATAACAAAGCATGCTCTTATTTTTTGTTTTGGGTTTTGTATAAACACATATTTCTTAAATTTAATATGAATGTATTAAATTTTTAAATTTAATCTATGAAAAACTATAAAAATTTATAATATATTTTATTTTACATTTTAAAAAATTATTTATCGTTAATTAAAATTATCCTGATCGAAAATCAATACAAAATTTCACATATTTTTCCTTAATAAAGTACCAAACGGTTTTAGCATCCAAAGGCAGATGATTTGTCCTGCGTTTTGACTGCAGCCCTACAGTCGCAAATAAGAACTTCTTTGACTTTAACCACTCACCAAAGCACAAAATATTTCTAGGTGTAAAGATAAAAAAACCTAAAAAAAGTTGATCAAAATATCTAAGATAAATTGATTGATCTAAGAAAAAGTATTAAATTCATTTTAATACGAGCATGATGTATTAAAATTTAATTATATTTTACTGGTCATCAATAATTTTTTTATCAAGAACGAATCTTAATATATTTTTTATGAAGGATTTATAAATTTCAAATTGATGATCATCTGGGGCCTGAATTTCAACGAGCTTATAGTTAAAAAGACTATGACAAGACGAACCCAACGATAATAAAATTGGTTCAATATGAGTCCAATCAAGCTCAAATCGGGCTATTAAAACACTTTTGGAGGTTTTGTATCGTCAACTTAATGATCAAATGAATTTTAAATTTGTTATATTTACAGTCAAACCGAGCATCTAAACAAGAGGAATTCAAAAACCCAAGCTCACTAAATTTTTTAGGTCATTATGACTCTCAAATCATTAAAAGAAAATCTTATGATCAAGGGGAAACAACATGAGTTGTCTATCAGATGATTATGGAAGTTATTTGTCAAAAGATCAAAATATTCCTACCGCAAAAGCTATAAATAGTTCCACTCTCTTCACTTGAGAGGGGGTGAATTTCAATGTTGTTTGGGACTGAAGGCTCCGCGATAACTTCAGCCTCTATAGTTGTCAGCCGCCCCTATCAACCAACCCTACTTATATTGTCACATATAAAACACAACCATAATTTATAACACCCTATTGAAAATCTAGCAATAGCTAATTTCAGTGTTGTTCTAGGCTAAAAACTCAACGATAACTTCATGTCTTTGTAGATGTCGACCACTAACAACCAACACCCGTCAGCTGTCATCGACCACTACAGTTGTAGTCGACCACTATAGGCCACCCCTGCTCATCGCTGTTGGATACCCTCGCTTGTTAAAGTTGTATCCCAAAAACTGTCATAACATATAACGTCGTATTGAAGAACCAACAATAATTTATGACCTCCGCAGCTGTTGGCCATCATTCACCACCGCCCGTTGGTCATTGTTGGCCACAACCAACCACCCCAATTTACCGCCTTTGACATCTTCTACTTGCTAACATCATATCCCAATACAACCTTAATGTATAAAGTGTTGAAGACTCAATGATAACTTCTAGTTTATATAGTCACTTTCCACCGTCAACCATCATTAATTGTCACTGCCTACCACTGCCGACCACCGACTACAAGCGACCGCCACTTATGACTATTGTAGCTAGAATATAACGATTATACCTAAGCTTTCTTTACGTTGTAAACTAATAAATATAATGTTCAGTATAAAATTATAACCCTGTCCTAAGATAAGGGGTATAGTCATCAACTCAGCCTATATGACCAACTATTATTACAACATCCAATTATAACTATGTGACCAACTAACGTTATTGCAACCCCCGATCACGACCTATGTGACCAACTTTGACTACAGCTTCCAACTACTACTTTTCTAGACAACTCAAGTTATTGCAGCCCTCGACCTATGTGACCTACTATAACTACAGATTTAGCCACAACTTCTGTGATCAATTAGCACGATTACAACCACTAACTCAACTTTTGTGGCCAACTACTATTATTACAGTTTCTAACTATAACCTTTGTGATCAAATGCATTTGTGCTAGCTCAAATATTACAGTTGAACTACTATTGTACATTTGTAATATCAATATTACAATTTTAACTTTTCTAATTCATGAGAAGAGTGAACCTATATACTTATAGACACAGGGAATTACTTTGACTGAGCTAAACCCCATGATTTTCTAACTTTCTAGTATTCTTTCACTTTAAAAAAAGGCAGTGTCTATTCCAACCAATTTTCTATTATCTGTACGTGAAATAGATATTCATGCAACGCTAAGATATTAAATTATCACTCTATAGCC